TCCCCGAGGCCCCTCCCACTTACCTTAGCAACAGGTTTGATTGACAGCTCGTGCGTTCCTTCCCTCTTTCCGGTGAGGGGGCGGGACATTTAACCTCCTCACTCGTGATTGGCTGTTGTGTTGCTATGAGACTCTTGGGTGGATTTACAAACACAGAGCCTGTAACCACAGGCAACGGGAGCTTCATCTGACCTGAACTCCGCGGAGACAACCACGGTCTAACCCCGAACCTGACCTCTGACCCTTGAACCTGACCTCTGACCCCTGAACCTGACCTCTGACCTCCAGGTGCTTGTCTGTGATTGGCTCTTACCTCCAGGTGCTGGTCTGTGATTGGCTCTTACTCCAGGTCTGGTCTGTGATTGGCCTCTTCCAGGTGCTGGTCTGTGATTGGCTCTTACTTCCAGGAGCTGGTCTGTGATTGGCTCTTACCTCCAGGTGCTGTTGGTCTGTGATTGGCTCTTACCTCCAGGTGCTGTTCTGTGATTGGCTCTTACCTCCAGGTGCTGGTCTGTGATTGGCTCTTACCTCCAGGTGCTGGTCTGTGATTGGCTCTTACCTCCAGGTGCTGGTCTGTGATTGGCTCTTACCTCCAGGTGCTGGTCTGTGATTGGCTCTTACTTTGGCTCTTAAGGTGTTCCTCCAGGTGTTCCTCCACACAGTTTGGTGAAGTCGTACTGAAGATGGACTCTGAAGTTCATGTCCTCCACAGAATGAACCACGATGTTTATGAACTGCATGCACGCCACCTACAGGTCACACACAGAAACACACTAATGAAACACACACGCTCCTGAAACACACACACTCCTGAAACACACTCCTGAAACACACACTCCTGAAACACACACTCCTGAAACACACTCCTGAAACACACACGCTCCTGAAACACACACACTCCTGAAACACACTCCTGAAAACACACACGCTCCTGAAACACACACGCTCCTGAAACACACACTCCTGAACACACTCCTGAAACACACGCTCCTGAAACACACACACACACTCCTGAAACACACTCCTGAAACACACACACACACACGCTCCTGAAACACACACACTCCTGAAACACACACGAACACACTCTGAAACACACACGACACACACACTCCTGAAACACACAAACACACTCCTGAAACACACTCCTGAAACACACACACTCCTGCTCCTGAAACACACTCTGAAACACACACAAACACACACGCTCCTGAAACACACACGCTCCTGAAACACACACACACACCTCCTGAAACACACACGAACACACACTCCTGAAACACACACGCTCCTGAAACACACACACTCTGAAACACACACTCCTGAAACACACACACTCCTGAAACACACACACTCCTGAAACACACTCCTGAAACACACACGCTCCTGAAACACACTCCTGAAACACACACTCCTGAAACACACACGCTCCTGAAACACACTCCTGAAACACACACTCCTGAAACACACTCCTGAAACACACTCCTGAAACACACTCCTGAAACACACTCCTGAAACACACACACTCCTGAAACACACACACTCCTGAAACACACACACTCTCTGAAACACACAACACTCCTGAAACACACACGCTCCTGAAACACACACAAAACACACACTCCTGAAACACACACACTCCTGAAACACACACGCTCCTGAAACACACACACTCCTGAAACACACACGCTCCTGAAACACACACACTCCTGAAACACACACACTCCTGAAACACACTCCTGAAACACACACACACGCTCCTGAAACACACACGCTCCTGAAACACACAACACACACACTCCTGAAACACACACACTCCTGAAACACACTCCTGAAACACACTCCTGAAACACACACTCCTGAAACACACTCCTGAAACACACACACTCCTGAAACACACACGCTCCTGAAACACACACGCTCCTGAAACACACACGCTCCTGAAACACACTCCTGAAACACACACACTCCTGAAACACACACACACGCTCCTGAAACACACACACAAACACACTCCTGAAACACACACACTCCTGAAACACACTCCTGAAACACACTCCTGAAACACACCGAAACACACTGAAACACACTCCTGAAACACACACACACACTCCTGAAACACACACGCTCCTGAAACACACACACACACTCCTGAACACACACGCTCCTGAACACACACACACTCCTGAAACAACACTCCTGAACACACACACACTCCTGAAAACACACTCCTGAAACACACTCCTGAAACACACTCCTGAAACACACACGCTCCTGAAACACACACGCTCCTGAAACACACACACTCCTGAAACACACTCCTGAAACACACTCCTGAAACACACACTCCTGACACTCCTGAAACACACTCCTGAAACACACTCCTGAAACACACACACTCCTGAAACACACTCCTGAAACACACTCCTGAAACACACACACTCCTGAAACACACTCCTGAAACACACTCCTGAAACACACTCCTGAAACACACTCCTGAAACACACTCCTGAAACACACTCCTGAAACGCGCCCCCTGCAGGTCAGGCAGCGTCTGCATTTGAATCGTTCTTCACAGTTTTGTGTTGACGATCGAACACAAAATGGCCGCCTATAGAGACTCTGACGTCTCGATGGGGGAAAAACTCCAGAAAAACTCCCAAAGTGATTTAAAGAGACATTTTCATGTTCCTGTGATCAGAGCGTCATGTTCCTGTTTAGAACTTTAACAGAACGTCAGACAGAGCAGACCCTCGGCTGTAAAAGATCCACATCGGAACATAAAGGTTCTGTACCAGGAAGTCGATGTTGTCGTCCTCGTTCTTGAAATGTTCCATCAATTTCTCAAAACGCATCGACTCAGAGCACACCTGAAACACACCGGAACACACAGAACGTAAGAGAACGTACAGGAGAACGTACAGGAGAATGTACAGGAGAATTTACAGGAGAACATAAAAGAACATACAGGAGAACATAAGAGAACATACATAAGAGACAAACTAAGACAGAGAAAGAGAGGAGAACACCAGAACAGATGAGAACGTAAGAGAACATACAGGAGAACGTATGCAAGTGCGAGAGAAACAGAAAGACAAAGAGTGAAACAGAGAGAGAGGAGAACACACGTGAAGTACACACAACACAGCAGAACGTACAGCAGAACGTACAGGAGAACAGAGGAGAACACAGGAGAACAGAGGAGAACAGAGGAGAACAGAGGAGAACAGAGCAGAGGAGAACAGAGGAGAACACAGGAGAACAGAGGAAAACAGAGGAGAACAGAGGAGAACAGAGGAACAGACAGGAGAACACAGGAGAACACAGGAGAACAGAGGAGAACAGAGGAGAACAGAGGAGAACAGAGGAGACAGACAGAGGAGAACAGAGGAGAACAGAGGAGAACAGGAGAACACAGGAGAACAGAGGAGAACAGAGGAGAACACAGGAGAACACAGGAGAACAGAGAGACAGAGGAGAACAGAGAGAACACAGGAGAACAGAGGAGAATCAGAGAACATCAGAGAACAGAGGAGAACAGGAGAACAGAGAGAACACAGGAGAACACAGGAGAACACAGGAGAACACAGGAGAACAGAGGAGAACACAGGAGAGAGACACAGGAGAACACAGGAGAACAGAGGAGAACACAGGAGAACAGAGAACAGAGGAGAAACAGAGGAGAACAGAGGAGAACACACAGGAGGAGAACACAGGAGAACACAGGAGAACAGAGGAGAACAGAGGAGAACAGAGGAGAACAGAGGAGAACAGGAGAACACAGGAGAACAGAGGAGAACAGAGGAGAACACAGGAGAACACAGGAGAACAGAGGAGAACACAGGAGAACAGAGGAGAACACAGGAGAACAGAGGAGAACAGAGGAGAACACAGGAGAACACAGGAGAACAGAGGAGAACAGAGGAGAACAGAGGAGAACACAGGAGAACACACACAACATTATATTTGAAACAGAATATAACAAGTTGCTGACGGTTTTGAAGTTGTCGAAGGCCGACAGGATGATCTCATGTCCTCCTCTGACCAGACACACGGCCGCCAACAGCTCCAGAACCAGAGCTTTGGTCCTGGAAAACCACAGACACGATTAAGTGCACAAATACACACATATACACAGTAGTAGTATTTATAGTAGTATTTGTAGTAGTATTCGTAGTATGTGGTTTATTCTCACCGGGGGTTCCGGTTGTTGAGGCTCAGGGCGATCTCGTTGACGGCGTGAGGATGTGACATCACCATGTTGAACCCGTACTGACCAATCAGAACACAGCACAGTCACGTGACCAATCAGAACACAGCACAGTCACGTGACCAATCAGAACACAGCACAGTCACTCGACCAATCAGAACACAGCACAGTCACTCGACCAATCAGAACACAGCACAGTCACTCGACCAATCAGAACACAGCAGGACCAGGACCTGGCTCTGGACCGGACTCTGGACTCTGGACTGGTCAGGGTTTGGGTTCGGGGTTATGTCAGGTGTTATGGTCAGGGATGAGGAGTCAGGGGTCAGGTGTAGGTCAGGTGTAGGTCAGGGGTCAGGGGTCAGGGGTCAGGGGCGGTACCTGGTAGTTCATGATGGCTCGCAGACACATGATGCAGACGTGGACGTCGTCTTTTTTACAAACGAGTCTGGAGTTTTTCAGAGTCCGACGACTCGGCAGCGTGTTGGAACGAGTGACCAGAGCCGAGCTGAAAAAGACGACAAGAAAAAGACAGAGAGAGAGAAAAAGAGTGACCAGAGACCATTTGTAGAACCTGATAGAGTCTCTGTGCTCTCGGGGCGGTAGTAGTAGTAGTAGTAGTAGTAGTAGTAGTAGTAGTAGTAGTAGTAGTAGTAGTAGTAGTAGTAGTAGTAGTAGTAGTAGTAGTAGTAGTAGTAGTAGTAGTAGTAGCAGTAGTAGTAGTAGTAGTAGTAGTAGTAGTAGTAGTAGTAGTAGTAGTAGTAGTAGTAGCAGTAGTAGTAGTAGTAGT